TTTAAAATTATATTACTATTACTTTTCAGACTGGCCACAAAGTACTTGGACAAGGAACTAGCGGGTAGGATACAACAGTTGCAGCTACTCGGCAGGGATATGCGCGCTGAACTACGAGATTCTCTTTGGGCTCAGGTACATATAAAGAACTATGTAGTCTATGTATCTAATTACCTACTTTTTCTGATACGAGATTTTTTATGGGATCAGGGCGCAAACAACAAACATACGAATCACTAGATGGTATTGATGGTATTGGCAAACGGCGTCGCCCATGAACACCCGTCGTAACATCAAAGAAATTACAAGTGCGACTTTTTGGGTCGATTAGTACTCCGGTAATCTTACTCACATGACGAATTACAACACCAGCGTTTCTCACACCAGTTATTTGTGAGGCCGTAGTTTACCTCGTCGAGTACCGGTTTTGTAGACACAATTATAGAACAATAGGTTGCGGTCACCGGTGACCGCTTGGTGTTTGACAGTTTAATTACGGTCGACCTGGCTCATGCTCACACAAAACCGACGTGAAGCAACGCTTGCGTTGTGTTTCGTCGTGTGAGTAAGGTTACCGAAGGCCCAATTACCCTCCCCTTCCCTAATCTCCCCTATTCCTGAATCCCCAACGATCCTCAAACTCCTAATCCCCAAAAGGCCGGTAACGCACTTGTAACGCCTCTGGTGTTCCAGGTGTCCATGAGCGACGCCGATTGCCTACCATCCGGTGATCCGTCTGCTCGGGCAGGCGGCTTATGCCATAAAAAAAAAACCATGGCTCTACCACTAATGATATTATTACGAATGTATTGTATATATGTCACAATTCCTAGTAACGTCATTGACGCAATCAGTTGTGGTTGTGGTAATGAAGATTAAATCTGAGCTTTTTATGTCAGCTAGAAACATTCAGTCGGAAGAATATAAAACTCTAAATTGAACCGTTTCAGTCACAACGTAATCATTTCTTTGATTTAACAACCGTCGTTAAACTATCTTCGTTCTCTGCAGAAAATAAGATTCATAAAATACTGGGACTTAATAATACTTTGCTGTTACTTTCTCTTCTATACATTTCTGAAAAGCATTCATTTGGAACGCATAACATTTTAATTAGAATTCATTATTTATTCTAAGTTAGCTTGTACAGCTGCTCAATTAAATCTGCGGTTTTGTTGACTGAGATGAAACTAGTGACCATTTATGTAGTATATTGTTGAGGTGAAAAGTAATCTTGTCACTCTCCGAGTCTGGCCTCTGACATCTTCATACAAGCTATCTCGTCAAGACGTCGCTTTCTTGGAATGAAAGAATGCCAAACAAGTATTCTTATTAAAACTTATATTTTAAAATAATCTGCCTTTGCCATTTGCCATGGATTTGATGATCATAGCTGAAATAAATAAGAGACAGCATCTGGAACCTCAAACTAAGAGAAACTCCTAGTGTGGGTCTTCGTATTTCTTTATTGAAACTAGGTATCATGAATATGAACAACTATATTCACTTTTTTTTAAACGACTTCCAAAAAATGAAGGAGGTTCTCTATTCGGCCGGGCAGGTATGTCTTTGTTGCTTTTTTCTTTATACATACCTACGTATTACATCGAGGTTTATAAATCGATTTGAGTGATTTTTTTTTTGTTTAATACTGAATAGTTGAAATTTGTTCTTATAAAAAATGTTTTATTTGTTTATTTCAGTGGTTTTTATTTTATGATCATTATAAGTACTTGAACGATGTCATTTTCACGATACTTCATAGATCTTTACATCGATTACTTAAACATTTCTGGTCCGACTTATTAATGTTTAGGACTTGGAGCACCGACTTCTAAACTATCAGTGGTAGGCAGTACAATGAATAACAGTAATTTTTTGTGTTTAGTTTATTGTTTCCAACAAAAAGAAAGTTTGCTTCATAAACTATAAAAAGTATAAATGTCCTTGACTTGGTTTCAAACTGAGGAGAAGTAGGATTTTTTTTTGCTGAACCTGATACGGTTTTTACTGTTAAGACATCTTGACCGACAGTAGTACCGTTATAAGTATTGAACAATATTGATCATATTAAGGACCTATTAGTGAAACCAAGTAGGTGCTTATGTTTTATATTTCGTTAAAATTAATGTTTGCTCAGCACTGGTATCTTTTTTAATAATTGACCGGCCGCCAATAAGACCGCCGCGAGGTTGGATTCTCACGTTAGTTAGACAATGGCCAATTATGGTCCGTGTGCTGCTATTGCCATAATAGAGCAATGAGTCTTACGTATATAAGATTATTGCCTTGGGATAGATAGGCTTGCTTATTATTCGGGACTCGTAACATTGCGTCCTCGTGCAATAAAAGATGCTTCAAAAAATACTGTATATTGTATTATGTAAAGCTGCAATTGTATATTGTGTGCAGGTGGAGGCAGAGATCCTGGTGCAGCGCCACAAGACGTTGGTGCGCGTGTGTCGCGGCGCGGGCGCGGCGCGGGCGTGCGGGCGGCCGGCCGGCGCGGCGCCGGCGGCGCGCCCGCTCGCGCGGACCGTGCGCGTCAGGCGCTCGCCACACCTCGGCCTCGGCATCTCCGTCACTGTTCGTATACGTTAAATGTGTCGCTTTACTAAACTATGTCATCATACAATAAAATATATTATTATGTACTTCTATTCTCATATAAGGTACTGCAATGCTCAAGGTAAACTTCCCTCGAAATTATTTATTTAACCCTGCTGAACCATATGCCTTTTCTACATAAGAGGGGTTTTCAATAATCTCTACGCTCCAAACTTGGCAAGGGAGGTGGAGATCGCAGTTTCTGGTCTTTTTAAATCCGCTTGTTAAGGTTGTCAAATAAAAAGTGCAACACAATAACATGGAACATTGCTATCAATCACTACAGGGTGGTCGTGAACATGGTGTGCCGATTCTAATCTCCGAGCTAGAGGCAGGCGGGCCGGCCGCACTGACGGGGGAACTCTATGTAGGGGACGCCATACTCGCAATTAACGATGTCGACCTCACACAGGTAATTTGTAAGACTTTAGTACATGTTATAGTCTCATTACCCAACTTCACTTATTATACCATGTCTCTGCTCTGCTTATAATTAAGTGTCACTACCGAAGAAAACTTTCTTTCTATATATAATTTGAAAAGCTTGCTATTCTCAATGTCATTGGATGATTTTCCCCCTAAAAAAAAGGCTATTCTCAATGTATAGTCAGACACAGTAATGACCATTTAGATTAACTAATTGGAGGATTGTTGTTATTGGTTGATTTAAGCACATTGTTGGTTTAGACATTTTATCTATAGTAGCGAAATCTGACGACTCATGTTAAAGACTTACCGTAACATATCTACAGTGAGTTAACCTCCATATATATAATTATCTAGCAGTTTACAAGCATCTTTCGAATTTCAGCATTGTACCCGCCCCTACAAGTCCTTAAATATTGCTAATCGGACCACTAACAATATAGAAACGTCCAAATTAACAACTCTGTTCAAAGTTCTACATATGCACTATTAAATGGTAATGACCTATACTCGATTCCATTTCGGAAGGCTGCTGTGACATTTGGCTTTTGACGTTTATAGAGTGATATTAAATCGGGTTAAAATATATAAAGTTTTATGTAGACTATCGATATCTCAATACGATTATGTCACAACACTAGTAAAGTTAAATGCCAGAAGTTACAGATCTCTTCCTAAATGAAATCGAATATAGACGACCTAATTATGTATTTATTGTGTTTTAAATAAGTGTTTACCGGTTGTATTACTTCCAGGCGTGTCACAAAGAAGCCGTGCAGGCGCTGCAGAGTGTGAAGGGGGACTGCGCGCTCTGCGTGCAGTTCATCGCCACCGACGATGATGATAGACTGTCTGAGGACAATTATAGGTAAACTGGCAAATTCTATAAGTATTAGACATTTACTAATGTAACATTAGACATTTACTAATGTAACATTAGACATTTACTAATGTCTAATGTTACATTAGTAAATGTCTAATATTTACCTTTTTTACACGGCTGTAGATATAATAATTAATTGATTAATTAATAACTTTAATAAGCTGAAGCAAATATAATGTCCTTACTTTCTCATGATCATGAGTCATGAGACAAAGCAGGCGCCTACCCCCCTCGATCGCCACTGGTAATGGGCTTAGACTTATTACCCTAGGACTGGGAATCCGGAGATTTTTTTATGTAAATTTTCATGCCTTAAGCGCACTACCACAATATTAAAATTAACATTAGCCGTTCTCAAGTTTCAGAGATTACTTTATAAATACAGGTGACGTCATTACAATGTTCCCTCTGTATTGCGGACAGGTTCCCCCTGTACCCGGAGGACGGCGAGGTGTTCGGTGGGGAGCAGGACGGCTCGGGCGCCACGCCCACTGCACCGCGCACTCCTGACTATAACAGGTCGGTAGCGGACATACTCTAGCGCCACTCAATTTTAAGATGCTCTTAAGTATAGTTCTGTATAAAATTATTTACAAAATGACAGTGATAGCTCGATAATTAAGTACAACTTAATATTGAGTAGCATTTCAGTATTCGGGCGTTACACACATATACTTGACTACGGGCTGCCGGGGTCGAGAAACTCATTCACAAGTAGATACCGAGGCTCTGCCTCGAGGCCTAACAGTACCAGTCCCTTTAGCCAAACGCCACTTTAGCGCTTGTCTACAGAGAGAGTAGAAAACTAAATGTATGGGAATGACACTGACAAGCGTCAAAATTTACGTCAATTCCTTATATTTTGGTTTTCTATTCTACAAGTAGACAAGCGCTAAATGGCATTTGGCTACAGCTGCTGAGTAGTTTTTAGTCAGTAAGAGACTCTTATTGGGTGAGACAGATTATAATTACTAGGAGTATTTTTACATTCTTACTAAGAGTGCGTCTAAAATTGGGTGGATGGGTGTAAAAAAAGAATCTCTGGTTTGATTTCCAACTTAACAATACTTATTAAACTGTCAAACACCAAGCGGTCACCGGTGACCGCAACCTATTGTTCTATAATTGTGTCTATAATGATGGTACTCGACGAGTTAATTTAAAATTATCGACAATTCATTAGTAGTAAATGGACCCTCGAATACTGCCAAGTATTACACGAAGCTCTCAACTTAATTATCGCAAACAATTACGTCTTTGCTTTCATTTTTCAGGAATTAATAAATGTGATTGACGTGTGTGACTTTATTTAAAGTCATGTAGGCTTGCACAATATTTCGTGTAAATTGTACTGTGCTCGTATAAATGCCGTATATGTTATTCCTGGCATACTGTTTTCATTTCTTCATTAAATCGACACTAAACTGAACAGTGAAATGGCGAGAGTGAGGTGTAAGGTCCTATTAATCAAATCTCCCTAGCTGTCACAAGTTGTTTTTTTTTATATTTGTTGGCCGACGTTTGACCTCTATCTCGCCTGGTGCCTGATGGTAATCGATGATGTGGTCTACGATGGAGCACGTCGACCCATAAGCAACCCATTCACCTTTAAGACACCCAGGTCACTCTTCAGGAAATACAGACTCTGGCAAAGAATTCCACTCCTTAGCAGTACGCACAAGGAAGCTTGATGCGAAGCGCTTAGTGCGTGTGGATGAGACACCTACCATGAACCGGTGACACTTCGCCGATGATTGGCCTATGTCTTGACAATAGTAAATACTCTGGGTTAGGTAAACAGTAAAAAACGTTTGTTTATGAACCATATGATGTGATGTTCTTCTGTGGAAGGGAAATAGCAAACAAATAAAACATATTAGGATACAGTGAAATGCTGAATGAATGTGTATATTTCCCCACATATAGATGGCGGAACACATTAGCAATCGTTCATAATTATATTTATAGCATATAATATGTAACAATTTTGCGACAAGTTTACTATGTATTTACATAATATTTATCTTTGACGTTTCCGTAGTGTCAGTGGATATAGTTTTTAGCCAAAAGCGTTGAAACTGTTTATTAAGGAAATGCAACTGTGTAGAAAATCTTAGTGTGAGACTACGAAAATAAAACATTAGTTAATTCGAGAAGTAAATCAACATAATATTTAGCTGAGCCAACTAGAAGCTGTACTTGAACGTCTAAAATACAGAATCGTAAAATTCGTTTTGGTCCCAAGTCCGACTGATTATAATTATTTAGTAGGTATGTTGAGCAGTTGTCAGCCGTATTCTTGGCACGGTAACAACTTTGACTTTTCTTCATGACAATTGCGTCGATATGAAATCAACATAACATGAGTTTTTCTAACACGTAACGCCATTCACAGCTATGACGTCAGGGATAAGCATTATTTAAATATTGGATAGATATTGAATATGTGATTTATGTTAATCGTGGTTATTAAAAGATTTTAACAATTTTATCTTATAGTAGTCAGTTTATATTAAGAAAGCAATCAAATCATACCATCCTATCTAAAACTGCCAATGACATTGTATTCGACTTTAACTACGATTATTTATTTGTGTAGACGCACCTCAGACGCGGGCTCGGGCAGCGAGTGCGAGTCGGAGCCGTACCGCGCCGCCCCGCCCCCGCCCGCCAACTACCCCGACTACAACAACATCAACAACAACCTCAACATACTCGACATGGACGACGACTCCATCAAGATCGAGGCCAGGCTTGAGGTACGTGTGTTTTATTTACCAGCTGAGAAGGATTTCGGTTACCAGATAAGTAAAGTATATTTTACGTTGATATAAATATTCTGTGAATGTTATCGTTATTTTGACAGGGTTCCCATTTTTGCATGGGGTCCGTAGCTATTACTGAGTATTGCTACTTTTACTGTGTGACTAATAGGGATGTTGACATAGTTTTTGTAAAACAACCAAATACCTACATGTCCAATATTTTTATTAGAGGGACAAAAAAATGGCTAACATCCCCATTCGTTACTGAGCGCAGTGGTTGCGGTGGTAGACAGTGTCGGTTAAGAGCGTCGTTTGTTGTCAGTGGTCGGGCGCGGAGGGCGCAGTGGTCGGGGCGGGGCGCGGGGTGGTCGGGACGGGGCGCGCAGTGGTGGGCGCGGGGCGCGCGGCGTCGTCCGCGGAGTCGGCCGCGTCCACGCCGGTGCACGCGCGACCCAACGCACTCAAGAAGAAACGCAAGCCCCAGGTACACTCGTCTAGTAACTCATTATCTTCTATGCTCCTTTTTTATAACCCAAAACCAAAAACGACTGTAATTATTATAAGTAGGCACTTATAACCGCTACGCTCATCTGCGTCTCGATGAGGTAAAAAGGGGGACTTGGTATCCAAGTTTGATAATAATTATTTTATTAGCAACAAGTACATAATATTATGATTCTGTTTACGTTTCATTTCTTCTAGACAGAGCGCAGTATAGAAACCTTCCACGCGTTGGTATGTATCAAGTGAAGTAGTCATGTGGATTGTGTCGGGTAGTCGGGAGACCTTGGCTAGAGTACGAGTAGAGTCGGCTGGAGCGTAGCCAGTGATGCTGTTAGATATTGCGCTGTATTGCACATATTATCATTAGTTTTAATAAATATCTCCCATTCTAATTAGCCAAAGCTGTAAATTATTTTGATAACCACATTAATCGTTGAAATAGTGGCCAATGATTGCACAGACTGAATGATTTACGTTGTTATAGGACTGGCGTACTAAGGGTGCGTATAGACCCGTGGAGCTAGAAGCACCCTCCTCAGACGAACCTCTAACGGAAGCACCCTGCGATAACCTGCCAGTCTCCGATGGAGGTATGTCAATAATTTTTCATGATAAGTTTCATATTAAGCCTGAAGTAGAGAAATTAAATGTTTATTATTTTTGATTTGTTTGTAGCACTTAGTAAACATTGTTGATAAGTTAAATAAAAATGTTACTGAAGATTACTTGTTGCACCGCACGGTGTTATGGTCCTCGGCCGCGCACGGCTAAGGTGAGGCATAGCAAGAGCTCGCAAGCGTGGCTGTCAACCTGCTGAAATTAGACATGGGAATAACTTCTCCCTTTATAGAACTTGTACCATAAAGTGATATTCTCTTTAAAGCTTGCGCCTCTACATACAATTATAATGTTGTAGCTAGCTAGCTTGTAGCTAAGTTTGTAAGGAATATGGATAAAATTATAATTTGTTGAAATGTTTGTTGTGTCCAGTACCAGAGTCTCCCATAGCACCAGTTCCACCGCCGCAGATAGTGCAGCCACTCATCGACATTGAACCCAAAGACACCAAGCCTAGCAAACCAAACGGCGATATCAAACCCCTCAGAAGAGAATCTAAAGGATTTAGGTAACATAACAAATGGATATTTCTCCCTGTATTATGTACTACGTAATCCACGTAAAAGCAAACTTGATATGTCATTACATCAACGTTAGATGCTAGTTTCTCATTACTAACATACAGTTTCGCTTTGACTTTCATTCGAGCAGAAACTGATAAAGTTCTAAGTCATTTATGTAATTATTTAATTATAGAAACCTGAAAGTTAATTAGGTAATGCTGATTCCTATCTTTTTGGATATGATAAGGAAATTTCGTTCAATTGACTATAGATGTGTTGCAAAAATATTCAATTTAAAAGTGCTTAACAGTTAGTTAATTCATATCAGTGTTGTTGTGAGTATGCGGGTTGGTGACCGCGGAGTTCTACCGCTCCGTGTCACATAAATGCGACCGTTCCATGATTAATGGGAGGTAGTACGCGAGTGTCGGACCGATTTATGTACCGTGGGATAAAAATACATTATATGTATGATTAATTATGATAGATTATTATCATGCAAATGTAATAGACATTGCCAACTCAACATTTTGTTCGTAAACAGAGTTGCAGCGGTTAATGCTACGTAATAGATGACGATTAATTTATAAATATCCCAATGTTAGTTTGTCCTGTGTGAGGATTTTAAGAGGATTAATAAATACTGTTACTTATTTTAACTTTATAGTTAAGTGATCTAACGAAACTCTCTCACCACGCGTTTTGCTATATTCAGCTGGAATTTAAAAGTTTTCATTTGAGTGTGCTATAAGATAATATTCTTGTCGTACAGGATAGGGTCCGCGCGGAGGGTGACCGAGGGCGCGCCGCTAACGAACGGTGAGGTAGAGCGAGTCAAGTTCCCGCCGCGACTACTGGCCGGGGACGGGGACCCCGACTTTGGGACCCCCGTGTGAGCTCGCCCGCAGCCCCCACGCAGCGCCCACGCAGACCCCACGCAGCCCCCACGCTCAACACGAGACACGGCCCGCCGTGACCTGGCACTGGCCCGGACTCCACGTCCAGCGAGCTAGGTCACGACAGGGCTGTCGATCGACGTACTTAGTATTATTCGATCTCACTCTGCGTGCGTGTAATGGCCTATCGAATTTAGATGTAACAGTATTCCTTCTTTTACGCCGAAGTGATGTCTGATTTTGAGTGCTTATTTTATTTTCCGCGTATATTACGACTGAGGAAGTAGTTTACGCGTAGAGATGCGCTCGGTCGCTTTTGTGTGTCGATAAAGGTAGTGATCATGAGATAAGTTCACTAACCAAATGTTTGGATCTCTAATCGCGAACATTACCATTGAGTTCAAGCATTGCCATTATTATGAGTTTGAGAATTCAACTACTACCACTTTAGGTTGCTGGTCAAAGTTAATTTGACGTATTGGAAATTATACCCTTATTTATTTCATATTTATAAATTAGCTAATATGTTAAAAATTATAATTTGATGTAAAAATGCACAAAACTGTTATTGCCAACGAAATATTGATGGATGATGTGGTTAACAGCTCGTTAATGTGTGATCCTCTCACACGCTGACATACACTAAACAAGAACTAATCGGATATTAACCACTGTCATGTTGCCAACGAATATAGTCTACTCGTATGTCTAACTAAACTGAAATGAGGTTCAATGTGATTTACGACGACGAACGGAATGCGTTAGCTAATGCTATGTGGAACAATTGATTGGTGCATGTACCACCTTCAATATTTACAAATAAATTTGAATCATTCATCTTCGGGTATATAACAGTATCTATGTACTATTTGGAAGAGAACTTTATACAATAAGTATTTAGATAATTTTAATAATCTCATGTACGGCTCGCGAGCCTGATTTACTACAGTTTATTTTAGTTGTTTTGTTTATTTTTGTATCATTTTGTGTACATATAGTTTTAGATTTAATTTGTATATTAATATTTTGATATATTTAAAATAAATAAATATGTATAAAGATTAGAGCAAATAAATGAAATTCAAATCAATGCGACGACTGAATAATCATCAGTATCCGTTTGGTACATTCCTATTAAGCTTTTTCGTGTATGTTAATTGACAAGTGAGAAATATGAAAGAATAATAATTAATTACGTTAAACTTATCGCGTTTTACTCAAGCAAGAAGTAATGTCTTTGTCTCTGCTATTTTACGTGGGTATAAAATCCGCTGCGACATTTAATACGTGGAACGGTCTATGGCGAGTATAATTATAATACATATCAGCACGGCTCGCTGAGCGTAAAGACTAACTGACAACTGTCTAGTGATCTGGACACATGCCAATAATATTTCCGCACAATAAACACGCGACTGTGTGCGTGCCCACACACAGCTAGATAAACAATTAAAATTAGAATCTTATAAAATAAATATGTGTTTTACTGTCATTATTTACTGGTATGGCCATGCCATTGAACTTTTGTCAATTTTTAAAGATTAATGATAGAGGTACGCTAATTATTTCATTATACTAATTGTTTAAATGAGTCTGCTAGTATTTGTTATGTAGTTTGTCACGCATGCACACGTACAGCGCCGTGTCAACGTCTCGTAACTCGTAATGTTTTTAAAATAGAATTATGTAATGGCTCATAGATTGAATAGTGTCTCGCTAGACCGCAGTCAAGTCAATGACATGCACGTGATCTTATATATTGATAGGTAGACAGTTTTAATATGGCTGCTTTTCACTCGCTGTTGAGTGAATTGCCGCGCAACTTTGTTATAATAAACCCTGTACAAATAAGGACATACTAACGATTGATTATAAATTTCGTTCTTCATACTGTCCCGAAATAAAAAGTCTAGAAACCGTTACTTTTATGAGATTCATGGAGCTATAGGATTAATATACTTAATTTATTATTTATTAATAAAATTAGCTTTTATGTACCTACGAACATTCCACGCCTGTCCATGTGTCGCATTACAATAATTTGCTGCGATTATATATATTTTATTTTATATACGAAGACAATATGCCTATGTATTATAAACAAACGTATTAAATTTTATTTAAAAATAATATTGTTTATTTTTTGCTTTATTTAGCTCTCCCTTACCTTCTAACAATTTAAAAAAAAGCGATAGCAGCTTATACACAACCAATTACGACAAAGGCAATATCATAATTTTATGCTCAACTATTTTCATGCCGCGCCACACAAGTTCATGTTGAAACAAAAATACTTTTTCAAATTTGGCGCATTTCAAATATGTTTACTGCTGGTGCACCGTAAAACGAAACGCAATCCAATCTTGCCATAACTCAAACTTTATGTTCCATTGGTAGATGTTAACGAGTTGCAAATGTAATTAAAAAATAAAGTGTAAGTCAGTATGTGATTCAAAATTGTTTTTGTCATAAATCTGCTGCATTAGGCTTTGTCACATTGCAAAACAGAATAACTTTAATAGTCGAACTCGAACTTGATTGAAATGTGTTTAGCAGTATCAAGAGTCTACCCAAATTCAAGAAGTGTGGCATTCGCAAAACCCTGCCTCGTTAAATTATTACACATTTAAGACGCTTTAATAAAAATAATTAGACTGGTTAATAATAATAATTCATTATAACACAAAGAAGAAGATAGTAGATTTTCATGTTAGAAATATTGGCAACATTTGTAGCTGTCATCCGTACTGAATAATTATTATTACTAAAACAGATTGTCTAATGGCCAAGCCTATTTTTCTCGTATAGTATTTTAAAGCAATTGTTATTTACCTTTGTTTAAGTTTAATTCGAAAGTTTTTCATAATGGTTGTCAAAGTATATATCAGTGGTATTTCTGGAAATAAGGAGGTACGTTTAATATTAGAAAATTCCTGGGACGGCCGGGTGCTTTTCTCGACTTTTTCTGAGCTGATTCATGTAATTATTGTTTTTGATTACGTGAGTTATGATACTTTTTAGGTGAAGAAGCGTCAACAACGTGTATTGATGATACTAGATTCGAAAAACATAAAATATGATGTCATTGACATAACGGAACCAGGGAAAGAATCTGATAAAGAGTTTATGCAAAACAACTCGAAATCGAACGGTGGCACAGTGAGCGACCCCAACCCGCGGTCTCCGCTGCCGCCACAAATCTTCAACGATGAGGAGTATTGTGGGGTAAGTTCCATCTTCTCATGTAAATTAGATATTATAATCGTGAATCAGGAATGCTTTGGTATTTTTGGTATGTTGCCATCTGTTGGTATTTTGTTCCTTTGTTACATGTTTGTTTACTGTTTATGCCTTTGTTTATAAATTGTTTGACTGACCATACCTGTTTTTCTGCTTCAGTTCAGTGTACTTTATTTCAGCTTAAGAAACATTAGTCAATATTCTTGCATTCTTTATTGGTTTCAGGATTATGACCAATTTGACCTTGCTAATGAAGTAGACACTTTGGAACAATTCTTGAAGATGGAAGCCCCTCCTGAAGAACCACCTCAAGTTGAAAATGAACAGGTATTGTAATATTATTATACTGCAAAATTTTCCATTATTTAGTATTTGTACTGCGATAACTACATAAATGTAATGATGACAATGTTAGTTGTTTAATTTTTCCTTGTTACTATGTTAGTAAAATATTTTTTTATTCTGTTAGCTTGTTATTTTAGGTAATTATTAGATTGCTAATTATTATAAACTGCTGGATGTAAGTTTGTAACAATTTTGTTTACTGTTGTAGGAAAAAGCTGTAAATGGGGATGTCGAAGCAGAAAGTAAAGAGTCTGAAGAAAGCACGGAAGGGAAAGTTGATGCAGTTGATACAACTGAAGCTGCTGAGGAAAAAGAAAAATCTCCAGAGAAAGAAGGAAGTCTCACTAAAGAGGCATCTCCTACAAGAGAGGAAGGTGCAGCAGCATCTAAAGAAGGTTCTCCTGACAAAGAAGAAGATGAGGGTGCCCAGGGTGATTCAAAAGAAAAGTCTCCAGAAAAAGAAACAGAAAGACAGAAATCAGTTGAAAAAGAAAGTACACCAGAGGCAAAGGCCCAGTCTCCTGAAAAAGAAACAGTGGTGGAAGCTAAAGAAGCTTCAAAAGAAAATTCTCCCGCAAAGGATGAAGTGAATGGAACTGCTAGTTCGCGCGAGCAGTCTGAGGAAAAGGAAGCTACTGAACAAACAGAGACTGTAGAAGCTAAGAAAGATAACCCGTCAGAGGCTCTCATCCAGAGCGAGCAGATTGCTGCAGCTGAATAATGGACTGAACACTTACTTGCTTTTCAGCTCAAATGAATCCCTATTAGCACTAAGCAAGCACTATTCATTAAGTTCTGTTATTTATAATGCATCATCACTTCTTTGATATAGTCATTGTATATAATGCAAAGAAGTACTTGTTGAGGATCATGTTATGTGGCGATGTATAGTTATGTTTTCTAATGCAATGTGGCCTATTATCATAATTAGAGATATATAATACAATTAATCAAATTATATAAAGTTCCAGAATGAGATATCTATATATAACATTTTTTATCCTTCATTAAGGCTTGTATTATTTTAAAGTATTAATTTTTATTTACAATTTGCTTGTCAAGTATTCTTTTGAGATTTGTAACAATGATTTTTTTGTAAATTAATTTTATATTTTAATTATTATAAATGAAAGTACCTAATACATTCATAGGAATGATCTTTTCTGCCATTACTTGTCTTGATCGATGCAAATCAAAACGCCATTACTTCGACTAGACTGCCATGAAATATAGTATTATTTATTTACATTCATTCTTTACACTGTAATTGCATAATTGATCATTCTAGACTAAAATGCAGTACTTTTAGTTGTAATAAAATTTGTCATGACAAATTATTCATCATTTTTTATAATCTTAATCAAAGACAGTTTTTTTTAACAATTTTTCATATTAATTATATAAAAATACGAACGAAATAGTTACTTTTTTTATTTCTTACCTAATTTAATTTTCACGAATGTGCAATTTACTGACATAAATATGTTTACGGTATAGGAGCATGTGGGTCACATAAATAAGTGAGAATTACTTAACCAAATTGTTAGTGTATTTATAATTTCTAGATGGTTCGTTTCAAGAATTGCGACGTAGACTTACAATTCTTGCTCTCAAGGCCGCGAAGAATGATGTCAAAACTACTAGTTTCAAAATCATTGTGCATTGTTTACCATGCTGAGGTAGTTCGTCACCGATCCATGCATTACAAACGAATGAATCATACAAGTGATATGGTCGATTAAGCTGCTAAAAGAAGGAATTGAATACCTAACTCAGAGTAGATAAGAAGTATAATAATATTAGTCGTCATGTTCATTCCTGGAATATAATTATTTACTGAAATAAAAATGTTAACTGCTGTTAGAGTATGCTTCCTCTACATACTTTTGGTTATAAGTTATGAGTCATTCATATTGCTGAGTGAGTGACCCATTGTGCACACTGGTGTAGGCACTGGCCTACTATGTCATTGTAAATATCAACAAAGAAGACTCATTACTTTGATATCTCGCGAATGTAGCATGTTATGCTATCATAAATATGAATATAATATAGTTATCGCTATATCGTTGCAGTTACCCGCCCTACGGAAATGTTAATTATGCGGACACTTTTAGGTGCGGTACCCAATAGCAGACACGCTGACCTTTTAATGCGAATACTAACAGGGAGCGCAGCTACTATTCAATGAGCCCGTCCTTGACCCGAAGCGATTAATGAGCTCTACATTACACGATATTGATACTACGCTTAGTAGGATTTGCTAATTAATCTAATAAGAATCTTAATTTGAAATACTGCTTGGTGTTTTGGAATAGGCTTAACGACGGATGTTCACGCAACTTTTCGCAATTTCCATAATAAGCTAATTGTTTAAGATTTCATTCAATCGTGGTCGAAGCTAGCAGATTGATTTCAAACACCTGAAGTAATTGACCGAATTGGATGGATGTATTTTTAAACTTTACAGTGTCTTTTTTTTTTTTTAAGGGGGGATAATCGTCGAATGGCTGCTCCCGCCTGGGTGAGGCGGGAGGGAGTGTCAGACTTACTGACTAAAAACCACCCCGTTCCTTCTCCTGCACGTCGAGCCGGAGCCCCGGTTACCCGTTAGGTTCTCCGCGACTCAAACTTTACAGTGTCTACCCCTTCGTGGAAGAACAGGCGTCATGATGTATTTGAAGAAGCTTAGAACAGCTTTGTAGTTGTAACCTACAGTAACTCAAGGTGCCACAGGATTACTTTTACTTTCAAAGGGGAGCGCTGCACATGCTTTAGGTATAATTTAAACTAAAAAATATTTTCAATAAGTAAGAGGTGTAATTAAAAGTGGGTAGGAAACTCGGAAATCATTTATGAATGAGATCTTTTTACTCTAATGGAGCTACATTTCTAGCAAGTGGAAAGTTTATCCAATCACTGTAGTTGTCAAATTTTGAACGTCCAATGGTGTGACACTAGCTGATTCTCTATTTAACGAAAAAAGGAAAGACCCACACTATCGCCATCTGGTCGCCAGATTAGTGCGTGGTGGGATGAGCTATTGACAGCTAGATGACTATTGCAACCGACGGCTGGACTCACTGCCATTGCAGCGGTAAGTGCCCTTTTTGAGGAGTGGCTTGAGAGACGCTACGGTGTTCTCACCTACCGCCTGACTCAGGTGCTTACCGGAGGGAGGGAGATAACTGCGTTCTGAAAGGGCAGGAGTAAACAATCGAGGACCGTTATGAGGACACGGTGCAGCATACGTTGACAAGGCCAGGCTTTATTTATTTATTTATTTCTTCTTCACAAAACATAAGGCATTATATATATGCCTTAAGGCATTCTCTTACAGTCAACCATAGGGAAGTGCAGAGAAATGAAGTGGTGGAAAAATGTTATGTAATATGTATACTACACACATAAATACCTATAGAATAAATATTATTTGTATAGACATACTACTATATAATATATACTGCTGAACGAATACTTTACTAGGCTTTAACCAATCAATCAAAGCATCGAACGCGCTCGATACTTTTACGTTACGAATGCGATAGTTATTCTTGCTTCGTATTCTGAACCCTATTTGGAAGCTCGACAGGACATCATGACAACAATATCGTAAACTGTAAGGCCAGATCCATTCCGTTCCCCGAGCTTAAAAGCGTATTCCAATGCGGTAAACAGCTTTGGAGATATGACATCCATCTCCTTACTTTATGAATCGCTGCTTGCGAAGTCATTCTAGCTAAGGAGGAGGCGGGGCGGATGAAGCAGAGATCCACAACCTCCTCACAACATAGCCGTCGCAAAGGACACTCTGGGCCGACGCCCAGAGTGGGTTCGCGAGACCATCTCCGCCGCAGAGAATGTAAAAAGTTAACGGGGAGGAGCAGGAACTCCCGAACCCGGAAAAATAATTTGTGAATCACATAGAGGTGTTCCCTGTGGGGACCACCCGAACACGTTGCGCTGCAGCCATTTCCAACCACTGCGCCAACCGCACGGTTGTCGTTATAAAACATGAAATTATCTAATGGCACTTAGTTCTTCGTCTAAGCTGGCTACGTGCCTAAAAGGAAGGAATCAGTGTAAAATGTTTATCTCCAACTCTCTCAAATGGGAATTAAAGAAATAGTTATTTCTAGTCACTAAAACGAATTGTTTCGACGTATCAGTAATGATAGATAGTTTTTTTTTAATTGGACAGCTTCCCAAAACTGCTGCAACCCCTGTAGGCCAGAATGTACAGTAGATACACCATTGTTGTCATGATGTTCTGTCGAGCTTCCCAACAAATAGGGTTCAGAGTGCCAAGCACGAATAACTATCACATTCATAACGTAATAGTATCGAACGCTTTCGGCGCTCTGATTGGCGGGCTCCAGTCTCCAGTTAACCAACCAAAAACAACTGTGTCCGCCCTGACAACAATGTCGTAAACTGAAAAGGAAGTGGTGTTCCTACTAAACGTTATCATTGATTCTAGATCCTTTCCATTCTACGAGCTTAAAGGCGTCTTCCAACGCAGCGCTAAACAGCTTTGGGGATATGACTTCACTTTATGACTCGCTGCAGAGGAATGGCCTTCAAGTATATGGTGGCGTTTTTATGCTTCAACGCCTCGATCGATGTTGAGACGCCATGGTGAGGTCGCCAACTACGTACCTATCCTAGCAGTTAATATTGAAATGTATGCCTGTGGTACCCAACTCACATGGCGATGCTTCGGCTACGTCGCTATGGCGTTTTAATAAGGCAAAGCTCCAAATTTCGATCATATCAAAGGCCTTTGATGTTGTCACCTTTCTTGGAGAAGAGTTTTGTTCCTTGCCTATTGCGTTACTCCTTCGTGCAAGACGAAGTTAAAGATAGTCTGAAGGACTAACAGCCCAGTATTTTATCTGATTCCAGAAACTTTGAAGTGTTTTCATTATCACCATGTTGTCTTTAACCTCTTTAAACACTTGCAAACACTTTGGAGCCTTGGTATCGCCTCTTTAAAACATTATTAAACTGTCAAACACCAAGCGGTCACCGGTGACCGCAACCTATTGTTCTATAATTGTGTCTACAAAACCGGTACTCGACGAGTTAAGTTAACAATAACGTGGATGTCATTTCGCAGAGATTTTCATATAAGGCCGCTTAACCTTAGCTTCGGCAGAATTTTGGAACGCTATCGCACGTTGCATTGTCGTGAGTTTTGAGGGTGCGATAGTTCATCGAGATTTGAAAATTTCGATTCGACTGCTTGGACTGCTTCTACGAAGCTATTACTTATCTCGTCTATGAATTTTTTGATCGTGTTCATGTAGGTAGTATAGATAGACTTAACTGTGTTTACGTTTTGCCGTGTACTTACACAGTGCTTGCTTCCTTCTATGAAAAAAATAACCAGTGTAAAACCGCGCGTATATAATTTGCGGGTTACATATTTTTTAGACTTTCCCCGCCCTGAGCCCCTGGTTGGCTACTCCCATGAAAACAACGGAACACTGAAGTCCGGTGCGTCTCAGGGACATGAATAACTGTCTTGGGTCCCGCAACGAAATATATATATCATAAGATATTATTAGAGGAGTAGAAAAAAACAATAGTGTCCACTTCCCTCGGTGAATTACTGCAGGAGATAGAAGAAATCAAGCCTAAAGGCACCAAAAAGAGACTGTACAACTAGGAAAAGCCCAGTGGCTAAGCACCACCGCACTTTGACTAAAAACTAAGTGGGTCCTATGTGTGGATTGTCATATCTGCCTCCAGTATCCAATCCAAGTACTGATGATATTAAAATAACCTTTTCGCCGCCCAGCTATACTTAACACGATGTGTCGCCGTACGCCAACGTATAAATGTATAATAAATGTATAGTACGAAAGTAGGGATGGCGGTAACATCATGTCGATAATGAAAAAAAATATGTGTAAATTTAAATTGGTACTCAAATTTACAATTAAAAATACAAACTGTTAAGTTATAATGGTAATTTGTTTTATTTTATGAACATTTATACTAAGAAAAATGGGTATCCGTTATCAGAGATGAAGATACATGCATAGAGTTGCTAGAGATAATAATAATAATTCGTAACATTAGCCACTTCACTATTCATTTCATAACGTAGTCTGTTTACTTCATATCAAGTCATTGGCGTTCAAAGCACGATACATTTCGTAAGGAATAGTTGTCTATGCTTTTCTTTCTTTCTATCGAGTTTGGTTTGCTTTTGGTTTTAGTTTACATTTAAAATCTAACGTCAGGTCACGATCAGGAACATTGTTTGTAGTGATTAAAAGTGGCAACATATGTGTAGTTTTGGAAATGGATGGTAAGTAACTATTTTAATACAGATGTACTAAACTTTAATAGCTTATTTTTCATTTAATGCAAATGAAAAACTGGCACGTTTGATGGATATTAGGTAGTCATAAAATACCTATTCGTTGCGGCTCTCGGTTTCGCAAACTTTTAGCTGTGTCGGCGAACAAATATAGAATATACTCATCCGAATCATATTCGGTCATTTTGCACTGCACTGGGAAAGAAAAATGTGCGTGCACGCGTCGCCCGGAACTATGACACAATGACCTTGACGCCTAAGCGCTTACGACGTCACAGGTTTACTTCTATTGAAGTTGACGGCGCTAGTGTCACTCGACATCTTGCCATTACGTAGAGATGGGTCTAGCAATATCGAAAACCCTCAGTACATAATAATTAATTTTAATGAAATGATTTGATAGGTAGATGTACATTAATTTTGAAACGCATTGTAATACGTTATTTACTGACCGGAATTTCTTTTTATTCATAGAATTCAAAAAACTATTGGATGGAAAAGAAAACAAATATTATAGTAAATAAAGATTCTAATGAATGCTCCTTACGCGTCACATCACTGGCCTACTTGATATGAAGTCGTTGGCGTGCGGGATATAAAATTATTTGAAACCTTTTATGTTTTACCTTTTTAAAACAGAAAATACTCTGTTTTGCGTCGTGTCCATATTACAAAATTACAAAGAAACAAATGTTTTATGTATCGTAAATGTATTTTTTATAGTAGGTAGATACAATGAACTTCTATAGAAGTAGTGGCGTGGACGGCACGAAAATCCTGAACTTCTATAGAAGTTGTTGGCGGCGAAAAGGATAATCACAACTTAATTATTTTGTTTTTTACTTGGTTCGTTTAAAGGAATTCATGTATGGACGTATGAATTTTGCACATCCTCAACTATGGTGCATAAACACGGTCTTTGACACAAGCCAGCGAGCCATGGAGCGTAGTATCATAGGAATCCTTGTTGTCTTAAAGTCCGATTTCGTAAAAATTCGTAGAAAATTATTGTCCTTGATATTGTTATAATAAAATTATTGAACTTGGAGCATTCGGTATCATTGTAGTTTTGCTATCCAAATAAAATTAATTGATATTCTCTAAGGACACGCGGTAACCTTAAAAATCTTTAGATTAAAAAATACGAATACTCTTACTTTACAAATAAAATACCCAGCTTGTGTTCTGATGTGTGCAATTTGTTTAATCTGTCGTTTGATACAAAAACAAAAAACAATCATTTGTAAGTCAATGTTATGAATTCATAAGCAACATTGAAAACGATAAAAAGAATTTAGATGCCAATTCATCTGTTGAGTAGCACTCAAGCATTTTGTTTTCTTTTTCTTACAATAATATACATAATGGATGCTCTTGAGTTTGCACAGATTGCGTGTGGCGGCGATCACTTTGAGCTGACAGTGATCAGCAGCAGTAATTTCACAACCACCTAATGGCAAATAATACCTTTGTAATGATGCTCAAAGTATCATCTTGTCGAAATATAATACAATAAGCGTGAGATCACTTCGCCTGTACAAAGACAAACAAATAGAAAAATAAAACAAATACGAGTACAAGCGAAAATGTTATTTATTCAAGATTAGTACTTTGAGCAAATAAATTTTCTTAATAATTTATACTACGTTTAACTTATCATAGTAAAATAAATATGGAATAACATGATATAAAATCTATAATGGAAATGTAAACATTCAGGTATCTAATTGTTTCATTGCGTCATTGAAGCTACAATGAAGGTATAACTATAAACAGCCTCTATAACAAGAACTTATAGTTCGTTCATATACTTTTTTTCATAACGGGAGAGGGAGGATTACTAAAATCCTTGAGGAGAGCGTCTCCGGGGAAGTCGGCTATATTTCTGTGACGTAGTTCTACGTCGGGGCGATCGTCTAAGAGACAGGCTTGGATATTTTTGTCTAAGGTAACTAGTCTTTGGCGTGAGGTCTTGTACTCTTCGACCATGCTGAGGTTGCGCTTGATGCCGTCGACGAGTTTAACGACGGAGTACTCTCCCATGGCGGCGCCCTCCTGGAGCTTGGTGCCGGCGATCTTGGCGACGGAGGACTCCTTCACGTCTGTGATGAGCTGCACGCACCACTGCCGCAGGTTGCTCATGATGGTGACGGGGCCCTCGTACTCGTTCGGCACGATCCCGTCCACCTCCGACTCAAAGAACGACAGCAGAGGGAACCAGATCCTGGTCCTGGAATACATACTAATAACACATTAATGTAAGCCAAGGATTAAGGTGGATTTGTAAATTATTTGATGGTGTGTTATTTTAGTGTCACCAGGAAAAGTATCACTTCTATTCCCTTAACAGTTTATAGCGCATCAAATATATAACATACTTATTATGAGTATTATGACCAACACTGTAGTCTGACCTTATAAATACTGTTTTCTCCGTTCTTGTTTATCAATGAACTAAAACGGTAAACATTTTAGTTTCATCTGAACTGACATGACGTGTGGTATTCCCCAAGACTTTCACAACATAATACCACGCCATCAAAAACGTTCTTGGAAATAAACGGTAGAACAGAGCTATAATCACAAACACAATTATGTAATATTTTATAAGATAATAAAAACTACAATGAACATTTACCTCGAGGAGTCGTTCTGCATGAGCGCCTGGTTGTTGGAGAGCGTGTGGTAGTAGAGGAAGAGTCGCGAGGTGATGTAGAACGCGATGAACACGTCGATGGAGTAGTGCTCGTGCGCCGCCAGGATGAAGAAGATCCCGAACATGTTCATCACCCACGTCAAGATGTGCAGCAGGTACAGGTTGCGGGATGTATCTGGAAGACAAAGAACAGACATACAACATAATGAATATTATATTTTATTTTTATATCCATACAAAAGATGTAGGTACTTAAATTAAGCAATTGTTTTGCATGTTTTGTCCCTCATGGTGTACTGTTACACACACACCTACATTATTTACATTGCTAAATTGTATTCTTTTAATGTTATATTCAAATACATATTGACGTCAATCTTGAATTATATAAAACCTAGTTTTCTTTCTTATTTTTAACACCTTTGTTTATATGACAATTATTTATGTTATTGATATATTAATTATACTATTCATGCGATTAACTTACAGCTAGGCTCCTTACGTATGTAAACAAAGTTTCTTCAGTGGTTTCTTACGCACTCTCGAAGTATTAGACTAACAACACAAATATTGACTATCGACTGCACGGTTGGCACGGTGCTTGGGCAACATGTCGCGGGTTCGATTCCCGCACGGAATAACTCTTTGTGTGATTCACAGATTGTTGTTCCTAGTCTGGGTGTCATTTGTATGCGAATTTATATGTTTGTAAACGCAACCACGACACCGAAGAAAATACGAATATGGAGCAACGTTTTTTTTTTTAAATTTAACCACCTCCAATGAATTGTCTCTTTAATCTGGATCAAAAATCATGTGCTATTTTCATGTAGTTGTCGAAAAGTACTTTTACATAGAACAAAGTGAAGAGACGAAGTACAGTAACACACATTTGATTTGGCAATGCAACACTCATGACATATTTGAAGATGTAATTAACTCCTCACGAATGAGAACCGTGCTTCTGACCCCACGATCAACCCGGCTTCGGGTTGTTGAACCGTACGATATGAGCACGACACATTCGCCGACACCAAAACAAAATAAAACTTTATTGCAATCTTGAAAACATCGTATTATAGATGTTTGTGCTCTTTAATCATAAGAATAAAGACCTGACTACCTGAGCCTACCTTTGGTCTTTTCCTTAAGTTCAAAGTCAACCACATTTGGGAGTCAAATACAAGCAGTAAGTAGGCTAAGCCTGCTGTCGATTATTTTATCACTTGCTAAGTTACGGGTTAAAGCGAGCAAGAAACTGTATTGTGTCTCTTGATAAATGCTTATGTTATTTTGGTTTGAATTATTTTCATTTTAAGTCCGAAATGTTAATGAGTGTGTTTTGTATTTCAATTTTCTATGCATTTATGACCTAATTGACCTTTTAAATTTTGTGTTATCGTGGGACATATATCTTTTTATCCGCCAACGGAGCCATCTTTTTAAGCCGGTAACGAGCAGACGGATCACCTGATGGTAAACAATCGGCGCCGCCCATGGGCACCTGGAACACCAGGGGCATTACAAGTGCGTTACCGGCCTTTTGGGGATTCAGGAATTGGGGAGATTGGGAAAAGGGAGGGTAATTGGGCCTCCGGTAACCTCACTCACACGACGAAACACAACGCAGCATGGCTCTCCCACACTTCTTCTACCATTATTAAAAAATATTAGATACATTCCTTATACATTATTCTATTATTACAAAAATAAAATCGAGTACACATGCCACAAACGCACACATAATAATTATAGGCCGGCTACAATTCGATCAATAAGTTATTAGCCTCTTACTTATTATTGTAAAACAAAGGAATTGGGTGAAGTTTCAAAGTGCATTTACAATAATATTATTGTCCGATAAAACAAAAGTTGACGTCATATCTATTGAGCCTCAGTGGATTTACTAACAATGCGATAAAGTGCTATAAGTATGAGATACCCAGGTAATCAACTTATAAATTCAAACTTCTTGGTAATTATTATAATAGGTACCATTTTTTGTATGCGTAATCGTATAAACATTTTCACTTTTTTCGTTTTACGTCTTTGTTCGTAAATCTCATTGGATTAAGGTTCGCCTTAACTTTGGTTTAATACCAAATATAAAAGTATTTGTCCTTTTATCGTGATGTTATCAGGGAATGTCCTCGGTTAGACACGGCCGTTCGTTGACCGCTAGTAATCGGTTGAAGGGCTTTCTTCTACTGCTCTCGACAACAATGATGGACAACGATGACAATTTATTATCTCGCCCCTGCATGATATAGAGGTCATTTTTACCACTTAGTAATAACAGTACGTACATAGTTAAAAATTTTCTAAGTCATTTCCAAATTACTTCTAAAACAATGCAGCACGTTGGGCATTATTTGAAATCTTCACTTGAACTTTGACATTTGGATCAAACAACTTATCATTGAACATTAAAAATAGGGACTATTCTACAGCGGGAATATTAAACAAAGCGCTTTATTTCATGCTTTTGCCAAATTGGGCACAATGCAACACTAACATTTAAGTAACTATTTGGCATAATGGACAATGGACAACGCGCAGTGCGAACGGGGTGCTTTTGCCAAAACTTGCCCCATTTTTGTAATTACCAAAAGTTTCATATTTTTACTGCTATATTGTAAGTACTGCCATCAGAATTCAAATTAGGTTACTAAGGACCATCTAATAAGAAAAGCAAAAATGGATTAACGAACTGATTATCTCATTATGTTTCAATGTGTTCATAACATATCAAAACAAAGAAATAATAAGTAATAACTAGTTACTGTGTTATTATTTTATAATTACAATAGTTGAATAAGATTGTTTTGCTTCAAGAGTATTGTTGAATTATTGGTTACTCTCATCTCATTACGGTACGTAAGTATCACACCAGACTGTACCTAATATTTATCGAAATCCGTATCTCGATACCTTCATAGAATTCTTCCTTTCTGTTGATATTTTTATTTACCATTCTGTTACAGTAGGTATGCAGGCCATTGTCTCATTGCCTACGGCCAGGTGGAACGTTTAAAATGTTCACAATTTCTCGTGAAACAGTAACTACACTAATTTCTACTTTCAATTTATTAAGAAATGTTTTTTGCGATTAATTAACTGATTATTTAGTCAATAAATCCGATTATTTAATTAAATATTTTATTTTATCAGTGTCAATGTTTATAACGTAGGCATTTACGTTTCAAATTAAGCATAGTTGCTAAATTCAAGGATAACCGCGTTAGTCACTCACATAGGCATTTAAATATCGCATAATAATATTGAAAACAAAGTGATATCGAGAGCTCTTCCTCGTTTGTTTTCGAGATAGAAGTCAATCTACGTCGTAGTTAACGACTTGTTTGCCATCGTGGCATAGTAATTAGAAAAACAAGAGTCAACAACATTAGCAACTTGAGGCAAATTGATAAGAAATGTGAACGAGAAAATAAATGCGTCAATATATTTTCATAACTTCCTCAATACGTCATCCACATATTTATTGCTCACTGAAGATTAGGTTATCTGTATTATGTAAAGATTAAAGGGTGTTGGCAGCTGATACGATATCTTTATTTTCGAAAATAATACACATTGTATACAATTGGGTTAATAGAACCGTCACTATGTAAAAGGACTCGCTATACTGGTATGTTTAATAAAGTATCGTTATAAATAGACGATCTGTTTACACCGCTTCGCGGCCGCGACAACGCACCATCAATGTCAGCCAGTCAAAACTAAGAAGACAAACTATTTCTATCACTATCCATGAAGGTTTCTCTACGAATGATAGAAATAGAACAAATTCATTCACGTGTCGCAGTGTGTAGCACCGCACCACGCTAGGAATAGACCGCTCCATTACATCCTATGTCGTAACGAACTGTTAATTTACCTGCCTGCATTTTTTCAACTCTTAACACCTACCTGGATCAGTATCACATTCTTACCCTACACAAAAACTCCAAAGGTATAAAAAACCTCCTTTATAGATGGAGCATGAATTTAGTTTTAACTATTCGAGCCCGGTGTAATGATGAGTGTCGTTGTAACTTTTTGCCCAAAAATAAATTCAATGCATACCAAGGTCGTAACTCACGAGGTCTTGGTCATCAAGTGAAGTAGGTCAACTTTGAACAAAGGGTACTCACATTCCGTAATAAAAAAGTTGAGGAGTGTAAGCGCGACGGTGTGTCCAGAGAACATGTAGTCCCCACAGGTGCGCACTCCTCGCACGGACATGCCGGCTCCGCTCCAGATGTCGTAAGCCTGGCGCAGGCGGCGGCCCCAGACGGTGAGGTCGTCTGCCGGCGGGTACGAGCGCGGCTCGCACTTCAGGTGGGAGCCCGGCACTGACAGCGATGTGATCAGCATTGTAAAGCACCGCAGCAGGAACACGGTGCCTGCCAGCGCGAAGAATCTTCGCAGTATTATAAATCTGCACAAACATACCAAAGATATAATTTATACCAGTAGCACGAAGACTGCAATTCTGGAAATGTGCCCGGTATATGGCAATACAACCTATTACATGGGACTGGTGGGACTCATTACATAAATAGTGAAAAGTGGGTGTTTACATTGTACACTGGCATTAAGTGCCGTAATGTGCACCTCTGGTTACCCCTTCGGGGATAAAAGGCGTGTTGTTATGTTATTGTCATCGCCGTGGGTCGTCATTGTTGAGTCATGTTGAGCCTAGGGTCATGGAATCTAAGATGTTTGGTGATCATTGCGCGATTTGCAATATTTTAAATTCTTGGGTCTAACACATCAATATTATACTACATCTGGCATAGTTTCCCGGAATGAATCATGATTCAAATAATAAGAGGAATGGAATAAATATACCATTTTAGATTAAATAGTGCTATTTCATTACTTTTCATAAAACAAAGTGAGGTAATAGAAATATGTAATATAGGTCTAAATAATTCTGAAGTTTGTGCCTTTATCAGGCAAATCAAGGGCAGGGTTAGACAGTCTACCGAAGGGCATCATAATTATTATTATGTGTTACATCATAACTATTATGGTGGTGACATGCTCTCTTCACATTAACTAGAAGGGCCGTTTGGATTAAGAAGACAAAATTATGTTTGAAGTAATTATGTTATTGCCTAATAACATGATTTTCTCCTGTGTTGTGGATGCGTTTATGTACGGCGTATGCGAATGTCGGGAATCGAACTCGCTACATGTTGTGCGGTGGTGGCAGTCACCGCGTCAACCGTATACGTAAATTGGCATGAGTACCTAAATAACTATAATTATAGCTTTTTGATCAGTTCAGATACCAAATTATTTTACGGAAAATTGTCGCTAACGAAATTCCGATCGTAGCGGGAAAATGAGAATTTACGCACATAACCAGATTATACACTGTATATTTGTGGGCTCGAGTTACTCCTTATTATATGTCGTGTGGAATCCTCATTTACCTAGTAGACAGCTAAATATGGCTAATGGACGTGATGCACGCTCCCTTTTCATATTAAGTACCGACGTACAATAAAAACGGCGTGCGGTTAGCGGTTACACTACGAACCTATCAACCTACATACAAATACGATCAACTTCATTGCTCTCTTGATATCTACAAATTTCTTGTTACGTCATCTTCAAATCAAACATTATTTGGCCACGATGGCACCCGGTCAATAATAACTGCGTAGGTTACGTTATCGTTACTTTTGTTGATAAGTACCCAACGGTTAACTCTACATAAAGGCAAGTTTAGTGAAATCACAATATTATGCTGTATATCGTAGGCAGCAGACTAATAGCTCATTATGAATGACCTCAAACGTAAAGCTGTATGTACTGGCGGAGTATTTGAAAGTGCATCGGAAATAAACGCGCCCCACATACATAGACACGTGCTCGGAAAATGATAATAAGAAATAACATTAATATCACATTAGAATGCGCTTGTTTGTGTAAATAATATAGCTATCTACGTACATTGTCCCTATAAACAAATACACGCAGTGCGTATAAGTTCAAAGTAAACGATCTTTCTTTGTATTTGTCGTTTTGTTAGTGGCGATGGCGACACTCACACAAAGGTCTTTGTATAACGACATGGTATATTTTGTGAATCATAACGGAAATTGGACGATCAATTACACATGAGTTAACAACGTAGACTTTAGTCGCACAACGGTTGTGTATGCAACGGTTTAATATGCATTATGCATGTATTACCGTATTTTGGGGACATTTTTGTTGCTTTCTGAAGCGTCACATGTAGTTGACTAATGACCATTAATAAAATCATTTTAATATTTTATTAGTTTGTAGCTCCCTGAGTGATGCAATAAAATAATATCAGTCGTCATGTCCTCAAGCTACTTGTGTCCAATTTGAATTGGAATGAGGGCAGAGGCAGATGACTAGGAATACTACTTACAAGAAGTAGAACAAAGCTGCGATGATAATGAAATGCATAGTTGATGTTATTATCGAGATTATTCTGCATATGATTAGGGAAATATATTATATTACAGCTATTATCTAAACAGGTTGAACAATTGTGTGGCGCAGTTGCTATGTCTGACTGCCATAAAATATAATAAATTATTTCTTGGACGAAAATACACAAATAACTGTTTAGATATCTAACAGATAAAGATAAATAAATAAGTTCGTAACAAAACCTGTATTTCTTTGTGTAAGTTAATATTCACATAATTATGAGGTGTAGTTTTCGTCATAAAAAACTGGAATAGGCCAGTAAGATAGATGAAGATTACGACGAACTCTTGGAGGATTGGTTAGGGATCAGCCTGGGTATTAACTGCCCGTATGTGGCAGACGAACCGACAGCAGAGTCGCAATTATAGGAATCAGTTTTCTTCTGACATTATTTGGATACGTAACAAATAGTATGTACATAGACTAGAAGTAAACCCGACTGCTCACTATAAGACAGCCTACTAACTCATGCAGAGCCATAAATTTTTATCCTGCTCATTTTACAATATCCAGTAGTACAGACATTCTTGTCATATTAGAGTTTATTATGATATAAGAACATGTAAATATTTTGCATATCAGCCAAATATTTTATGAGTATGCTGGTAAAATAAAATACGATTTCATTGTAAGTCGGGGGCCATAAAATAGTAGATACGCAATAAAGGCAGCGAAAATAACAGCTCCATAGTATTATGGTATGTACTATGTAGTACATATGATCATGCTCACATGCGCAATGGCGACATTATCAACTTATGTAATCAACTTTCATTCTAGAGTCGCTTAGATTTGTAACATTTGTATTGTATTTATTAAATAAGGGCATAAGGTGAAACTGCAAGTCTGAGTGACAATTTTGTAATTACAAATTGCTTTGTGATTGACCAATGACAATGAATGTATAGTTATTTGGAAAAGTCAGAGGTTTTGGAAGCAATTGTGGCTTGTGACTATTTGTTTCATAACAAGTGATGTTCATTGCATCTTTAATTTGAACTTAAGTATGTCTGGTCAGTCCAGTCACTATTGCCACACAACACCTGTTGACAAAACATTGCTTGCTAGTTACAACACGAGTATTTATGTACAAATGATGCAGCTATTTATTCTTTGTACTGTCACAAAGAGAATGTGTAGATTCTATTTCCTGCATCGGGTTGTAGTGTAGTTGAAATAAACTGCATTTGAAAAAGCATTATGATCAAATATTTTGTCCCAAACGTTAAAAATTATTGAACTTAATCTAATCAAACATTAATTTACGCATAATAAGTTGCACAATTTGTTAGTTAATTTTATTTGCATATTTACTTAAGTTCATTGTCTAAGTTGGTAAATAAACATATTGTAAATAGTAAAATTATTGTTTTTATTTTGGTAAATTAAATTTTTAGCCAACCATACCCACAATACTATGTAACTAGGGAATTGTATAGTGCAGCTGATTGAAAAAGAGTAACCTAAGGAGTTTCTTGCTCACTCTTCTCCATAGGAATTTACATCTTGAAATGAGCATTTGTTCCCAAAAAAGCTTGCTTACAAAATTATTTGTTGACGATCAAAAGTACCTTTCTAGTTTAATTGAAATAAATAATTTTATATTGACTTTGACTGTTGGTGAAAAGATATTAAAAATTCTCATATTTTTATTTACAAGGAAAGTTGTCTGCTTTTAAAATAAATGAATGTGTAAAACAATAAGTTTATAACAGGTTCAAATGTGAAGAATAGACTAAATCAGCTTAAGATAGTGAGTTCATAGATTGTAAGAAATATTTAAACTGTTGAACACCGTGAGGACACCGGTTCCGCACACTATTGTTCTTTAATTGTGTCTATAATGACAGTTCTCAAAGGGTTAATATGGTAATATCATAATCATACAAATATGAAATGTTTTTAATTTCTGAATATTGATTCAGAAATCTTTGCTCCATAAGAAATAGTATTAACTGTCATTGTAAATGACATGTAAACAAATAGTTTGTTATTTACATTAATGTTAATTGTACACAACAAACACCATTATATTATTATACTTTAGAATACATACCTATGCTTATGGAAGAATAGGACAACAAGCCATATGGCCATGAGGAAGGAGCCAGTGATCTCACACATGTCAAAGGCCCATGGGATATGTGGCACATTGTCCAGGAACAGGTCTGGCAGTGGAGGGTACTTCTTCATATCTGGCACCTTATCATGTACGATCACCATCACCACTGCGGTCACCCATGTCACCAGGAAGACATAACCTGGCAAAAATAAAAATCAACCTTTTCACAACAACCTCTTTGAGGCCTTTTGTTAATTCTATGATTTCGCAACAATACAAAAAAAAATTTGCAAAATATTAAGCATGTTTTTATAAAACTTATATTTATCCTTGTTTAATAATGTGTACACATGTTTTGCAACTATGTGAGCTTATGATACATTGTTTTATGCACATGTTTATTACACTCATTCAGATTCTTTGGACTGAATCCCAATCCCTCTCGTGTAAGAGAACAAATAATCAGTAACAGTTTTTAATAGATTATTCTAATAAAACAGTAACACAATTACCTAAAGCTATTGCTGTCTTCCAAATTTCAGGTTTCAATCTTGAAGCTTTCACATCGGGTGTAAAACTTGACACACACTCTGAATTATTTCTCACATATATCTCACTTGGTAGTTTGTTGTGAAGATTGTAACTCAAATGGGATAAGTTAGTTCCAAGAAAATTGATGTTTGTAGATGGATTACTGAGAGCATCTTCACAAAGACCGAGTTCGAACATCGCATTACGATTTTGTTTTTGTAATTTCTTTACGAGTAATATGAATCTCTTGCGTTCACCAAATTTTAAATGGTCAAAAGGAAAGTCATAAAAATCTCGATCCATAAAAGATAACAGACACTGTCCATCAATATCTTGTGATTTACAGATTTCTGTAATTATACTAGATATTTTTTCTTGATGTAATAAATCTAAAACTTCTTTGTTACTCCAGTTGATAATATCTGATTCCATTTTTTCCAGTTACTCTTACTTAAGTTTAATAATTTTAAGTGCTTTAAATATTTCTTGAACAATTTGTACAACTGTAAATGTTTATATAAACAAGAGAACACTGAATAGACGATCACAAAACTGTATTTATTTTAAAATTTAATCCATCACGGAGTACTGACAATGACAACTGACGTGACATTGAAAATTTGACATTTGGATGGCAGCCATTAACATTCTATACTTTATGGTTTATATTGTCACAGATCTAGACTAGAAGAAAAAAAAAGTATAATTTCATAATCTTGTTTTTAGTCGAGAATTAAAATGTGTGCCGCATCTTGGCTGAGCCCTTTTATCTTCGACCCAGCTCAGATAACAAATAAGGTGCACTTTCGTCAACTACTTCCGTAATAATAATAATAACCTCGTACTAAGCCCTCTGTTTACTAAAAATCGAAAGTAGTTGACAAAATTGCGCTCAATTTGTTAACGGTATCTAAGACATGCGCTTCGCATCAAGCACCCTTGTGCGTACTGATAAGGAGTGGAATTCTTTGCCAGAATCTGTATTTCCTTAAACCTGGTCTCTTTTAAATAAATTTTATACGAAGACCAAATTAATAACCTTTCACCCTTACCAAAAAACCCAAATGAACATTAATTTTAAATATAACCAAGTGGAACTATAATGAATTCATTCTTTTAGGCTTGACAATAGATACAAACATAAACTGGAAATCTCATATTCTCAAATTAAAGTCAAAAATCGCAAAGTTCTCATATGAAATTAAAAAGACAACTGATTTACAAACTGCAATAGTTACATGTTATGCGTATGCCCACGCTTGGTTCACTTATGGTATCATTTTGTGGGGAAACCACTGAAACAGTACGGATGCTCATTCATTGTTTATTTTACAAAAAAAAAACTAATCCGCATCATAGCCAACATAGAACAAACCAATAGTTGCAAACCTTATTTCACAAAACATAATATTCTCACCGTAATAAATATATATATTTTAGAATTGTGCAAGCTGGTTCGTAAATATCCAGATTGTTATAAAAAAAGAGGAAACATACAATCAAGCCACTCGTTCCGACATAAAAACAGATTGGACTTGCCTCGCTCTAACCTTAAGATGCACTCCTCTAGCCCCTATGTAATGTCGATAAAAATTTATAACAAATTACCAGAATACTGAAAAGAATTAGAAAAAACCAATGTATTTATGAGAAAATTAAAACAATATTTGATTAAAAAATGTTATTACACCTTAGACGAATTTCTAAATGATAAATTGACTACATAATTGACTGATTTGACAAGCTAGTCTAAGCTAAAAAGTAAATAACTTAATACTACTGAAAAATAAACATTAATAGTAATCTAACAAAACGCCCTTCCCCTCTCTTACCAATTTTAAATGTTGCTGTGCCCGACAGGGTCCATAATTGTTACTATTTGTATTTTTCTAACCACCTGTATGTGTACCTACATTATGGATGCAATAAATATTTGATTGATTGATTGATTGATTTTAAAGCCCGAGTGACTAGGTTGCTTACGGGATGACGCGTGATCCATCGTAGACCGCATCATCGCTTACCAGCTGGCGACATAGTGGTCAAGCGTCGGCCCATCAAATATAAAAAAAAACTAAGCCCTCAGTAGCTGAACTTGATAGCTCTCGTTTTTTGGGTAAAAACATAAAAACTAAGTCTCGTTTATGCCACATTCAAACGATTCATAGAGATGTGATTAGGTACTTTAGAGATTGGAAATCTGCCACTAAGTACTACTGCTCATGTCAATAGACTATAACCAAGCGTGATGTTACAAAACTTTGAATATTGGCGCGTTAGATTATAAATTCGGCATACATAATATAATAATGCGAATCTATTGCGTCATTATAATATACTAGCATAAGACAGCGACTTCGCCCGCATTCTCGCCGGATAAAAAGTAACTTGTATTATTTCAGACCATAATCTACCCCTGACAACTCTGTTCCAAATTGCATTTTACAATTGCAATTGTAATTGAGTAATAAGTACCTACTTATACACAAACACGAATGTTTATGAGTTTGTATAACTCCATGGTTTGTATAATACACATATAAATAGGGAATATTTTCACAGGCGTGCTTTACAGGGAATTATTATTATTATTGTTATTGTACATGCCATGTTGTCGGCATAGGTTTACATACGTATGTAGAACTACAATACAACTTTACACTATACCTACTTAATCCCATATGAATTTGTGGCCTTGTCAGAAAAGAGGCCCGAATTGGGAGGCTATTGATAGTATGATATTTGATGCTTGTGGCGCCATATTGACCGGTATTCACTCACAGTTTATCAAAGAGTATAATAAGTATATGGGAACAGTTTATTAATCCAGCTGAAAATAACGGAAATAAGTTTATTATTAATTTTCTATAGAAAATAGGAATAAGTAAGTTTTTAACTCTTCAAACAATGACAGATCGAGATTTGTCTTATAAAGTGGAATATGCTAAAAGTGGAAAATCGACATGCAAAGCATGTAATAACAAAATTGATGAAGGTGCTGTACGAATAGCTGTTTTGGTGCAGGTTAGTACGTTAGTGTTAGTACCAATACCATCGACAAAGCTTTGATGCAATTTCTATATTGTTTATTTACATTTTACAATGACAGGTAGATAACTCGTTGCATGCAGTGCAGTGATGCTTATTGCAATGCGCTAAGGTTGGTGTTTGCTTGAAGCGTACGAAACGCGGTAAAATAGCTTTTATTCCCATGGAACAGAGTCGTTTATCAAATTGATAGTGATCTTCTGACTAACTATCAAGAGATTGGATTGGAGGCTGGCAGATTTGTGCAACTTTTATTAAATTTAGAGCTTTTGAATAATTTCCGACACATTTAAAGTCACTATATTCTTTGCAGAGTAGTCTGCAAACCAATGTATTATCTAGAAATCCCATTTTAAGCCTATTCAACCCATTTTAAGGTCTATATTTTTTATTTGTTATGAAGAAGAAGAAGTAACCAAATATATATTTTTTATTTGTTGAGAATGTAATCTTGCAATTTGTGTTCTTTTCAGTCTCTTCGCTTTGATGGCAAGGAAACTAGGTGGCATCATGAAAAGTGTTTCTTTAGATCAAACCAGCCTGCTTCCACTGCTGAAATTGGGAACTTTTATAATATTAAGAGTGATGATCAGACGAGAATCAAATCTCAGATTGGTAAGAAATCACTGGTGTTTGTTCATTCAGTAATAAAGTAATATTAAAATCAGGAAAGAAGATTTCTGTCTAGGTACTTAATTCAATCCTTTCAAAATCTATGTAATCGCCTTATTGGAAATTCATTTAATAATTTCAGAAAAACCAATTGGTATGGTGGTGTCGGTCACAAAGCCTAGCAATCCTAGGAAAAGACCTACGGACCCTGAAGCTGTGTCTAACGCAAAAGCACTCAAAGACTACCTTATACAGTGCTGTAAGAGTAACAAGATATCATGTACTCATTGTGGCATTAAAATATGCAAGGTATTTATCAACAGCTCCATTATTTATTGCAAACATACAGACATGTCAAGAATCCTATGCCTATTCTTTTTTTTAGTCTACTGGGCTAACTTAGAGAACGTACAAAATAAATAATATTATATTTTCATTTCAGGATGAAATTCGTATTTCAAAAAATGTTCGAAATAATTTGCTAAAAAAAAAGATTCCTTTATCATACCACATCAAGTGCTTTGTTGAACTAAGGAATAAACTACATTTCTATGCTGGCGGGGACAGTATACCTGGATTTAAGACTTTGCCAAAGAAGGCCAAGGAGATGGTGATGGCAGAGATAAAGTAATAATAATAATAGATAACATTTTATGTTACTAGACTAATCTGTGATTACTTTACTAATATACAAAGTTGAAGAGTTTGTTTGTTTGAACACTCTAATCTCCGGAGCTACTGGAATGATTCGAATTGAATAATTCTTTTTGTGTTAGATAGTCAATTTATTAAAAAATGCTATAGGCAATGAAACATCACGCTACGATCAATAGGAGCCGAGCAGAGCGGGTGAAACCGACAATATCTAGTTACTATAAGTTTTCTAAATATCTTTGCAGACCATTGGGTGACGATGAAATTCCCATAAAGAAATCAAAAACAGAAACAAGTGAGGAAGATAAGAAAAAAATGATGGAACAAAATGATCTGTTCCATAAATATAGAAAAGCACTGAGTGTGCTTTCTAAACGAGAAATGGAAATGCTATTAGAGGCAAACTCACAGAAGTTACGTCACAACGCAGGCCCTAATGAGGTTAGTTAAAACTACCTATTTAATAGTTATCTGTAAAAGTGTACACTTTAATACATAATGTTTTATCAGTGGCCTGTCTTGACACTTAGAGAAAGTATAATACCTAGTTAATAGTTGTACAATAAATTCCTGATTGCAGCGTTTGGACAGCCTTGCTGAATGTATGGCGTTCGGGAAACTGGAGCCCTGCGAGGAGTGCAAGCAAGGACAACTAGTGCTACTCACTAACAAATATAAATGCACTGGTACAGTATTTAAATAAGTGCAATATGTTTACCTAGGTATATTAAATAGATATATACACACATGTTTATGGTAGGTACAAATTGCTTACTTCATTCACAGGAAACTTAACTGAATGGACGAAATGTGCATACGTAACCCAGAACCCTAAAAGATCGCCAATGGTCATACCGACCGAATTTGCGAAAAACCCAATCTTCGAGAACTTCACCCCTAGTACTGATGTGAGACTATTGGAAACTGCACCTGAACCAGAAGCTAATCTTGCTACTCCGTAAGGCTTCCTTGTTCGCTTTTTATTTATGCCATGGACTCAATAATCTATTTTCTTAGTCCATTATTAGTTTTTGAAGTACTTATGTGGCATTAAGTTCTTCATTGAAAATTTAACCCTTATTTTTGGTAGCATACAGTAGTATGTATTACTATAATCAGAACAATGTAAGTTTCCCAGTTTGTCTCCATTCCATAGAATCTGTCGATAAACGAGCAGACGGAACACCTGATGGTAAGCAATCGGAGTCGCCCATAGACACCCGAAACACCAGAGGTGTTACAAGTGCGTTACCGACCACTTGGGATTAGGAATTTAAGGATTGTTGGGGATACAAGGAATGGGGAGATTGAGGAGGGTGGTAATTGGGCTTCTAGTAACCTCACTGACACGA